AGCTAGTCTAGGCAGAAAGAGCAAGAACTGGGAAGATTTAGGTGATAGAAGCAGAAGATCTAAGGTAATAATAAATAAATTAAGTTCAACCCAGTTTGAAAAAATAGTTTACAAACTTAAATATTAAATGTTATCTTGTTTAAGGTTACCAAATTGGCTGAACATCCTACTGAAGTATTGGCATTAGCTTCAATAAAAAAAGCCACTAGAGATCCTACCAAAAAAGATTTCGTTGTTCTCATGAAAAGTGCAACAAACTATAAAAAGTTAATATCACGGAGATAAATTTTCCGATAAAAATGAAAACCGAAGATGCCTTGAGCTTAAAAGTTCAGTGTGACCTTTCTGATAAGCAGTATCAAATTATTAGAAATTCATTAATTATACATAATGTAGATATTTATCCTTTACTTTACGAAATTAAGAATGAGAGACATAAGTGTTATCCTGAGGGTTTAATTGTGACAGAAACATCTGCTTCAACTCCTCTACAGGGTATGTTTAATCATACTCTGACAAGAATATTAACTTTTACGGAATGCCAAGACTCTATGAGAATGTTTGCAGAAATTGGGGGAAGTTTAAAGGTGTACTTCACTTTAAAGGTGGCTTTGATGGTGCCTCCAGTCAAAGTGTCTATAAACAAAAAAATACTGATACAAATATTGGTGAGGCGCAAGTTAACGAGCAAAGTCTTTTCCAGACAGCTATTGTTCCACTTAAATTAACCATCACGAACAAAAATATATGGTTAAATAAGAAGCCTTCCAGCACACATTACTGTTGACCCTTACATCTCCAATATCAAAAAGAAACGGAAGAATTGATGCGAAATAAGTATGAACTTTTAAAAGCAGAAATGAATAGACTAGTCAAGTTTTAAGTAAAGTTAGAAGTAGAGGAAGGCAAACCGGATACGAAAATCACATTTAAGTTCAAACTATTAAGTTCACTGGGCTATTAAGTCTGGGCTATTAACCAGTTAATGAAAAAACTCACTGGGGTATTAAGTTCACTGGGCTATTAACCAGTTAATGAAAAAACTCACTGGGCTATTAAGTTCACTGGGCTATTAACCAGTTAATGAAAAAACTCACTGGGCTATTAAGTTCACTGGGCTATTAACCAGTTAATGAAAAAACTCACTGGGCTATTAAGTTCACTGGGCTATTAACCAGTTAATGAAAAAGCTTTATCTTTAGGCCTTTCTACTCTGCATTGCTGGCTCAGATCTTTTGAATATATTTTACATTTAGGATATAAGTTAAACATTAAAAAATACTTTGCCAAATCCCCCGCTGAAAAAGCATCAGTGAAAAGTAGAAAAAAGAACATTCAACTGAGGTTTAGAGAGGAGCTAAGTCTTATAGTTGATATGCCTAACAGGGTTTTGAAACACTGCCAGAAGGGCATTTGAAAATACTGAAACTTTCGCTGATATAACGGAAGTGTCAGTAGATGTAATTATTAGATTAAGGACAATCGTAATATCAGTACGCTCCTGTTATGAGTTAAACTCAGAAAGTTTTGGCCAGTATTGCTATGAAACTACAGCTTTTATACTCAAAAACTATTGCTGGTATACGATTCCCCTAACTGCTTATAAACTCTTGGAACATGGTGTGCAGATATCTGAGGCATTAGAACTGCCAATTGGTTACTACTCTGAAGAGTCACAAGAGGCTCTAAATAAGGAAATTTTCAAAGCTAGATTAAACCATACAGCCAAGATATCAAGAAAGAATGTTATGAAAAACCAGTACCAATACCTTTTGATTAGAAGTGATCCTGTAATATCTAACATTTGTTTCAAAAAATACAAGGTTGAAAATGGAAAAACACTTACCCCTGAAGTTATATCTTTGTTAATGCTGTAATAATAAAATAAAGCTTTTTTATAACTTTAGGTTTTCTTTTCTTGTTTTCTTGAAAGAAAAATTAGATGAGATAAAAATTTATTTTGTATTTAATATACTTTAATATTATTATAATATTAAAAGATTTTTTGAATCCAATTTTTCTTTTTAATAAGTATATGTTTTGGTTTGAAGAATTTAATTTTTTTAAATTAAATCTTTGTGCACGTAAAAGACTATAACACGTATACGCATGTATACGTGTTAGAGTCTTATACGCGTGTACGACCCTTAGGCACACGAAAAATTTACATTAAAAAATATGTGGTATTTTTTTATATGGTATTTTAGATCAAGGAATGAGATTTTTTTATTTAAATCATATTTTGCGCGCGTAAATGACACTTACACGCGTAAGCTTGCGTTGTACGCGTCATAGGTACACGTAAAAAATATTTTCAATAACAAATTTAAATTTTTTGACCCAAAATACGATAGTATTGATATATCACATGTTTATATATGATAGTTATATAATTTTTGCCATTTTTTCACCTTTCTGAGTCACTGTGCGCCGCCCGGGCGTATTTATTTATCTAAACATAAATTGTATTATTTTAATAATCCTAATAAAAGAACGTATAAAAGATAGGAACGTACATAATACTATTAAACTATTTAATTTGACTGGCTAACACATCAAGTTGATGGTTAATTGTTTTTTTTGGGTGGACAAATTTTTTTTTTTTTGCTTAAATTTTCATGAGTTTAATAGTTTCTCATAACTCAAACTAAACAAAAATAACTTAATGCTTGAAATTAAACTCCTATTCTTTTTAAAATAATGATTTTAAACAAAATCAATGCCTTTTTTTTAAATTTAAACTTGCAATAATTAACGTTAAAATTACCTGTTGATTTGTTTAAAATTTATATAAATATAGGCGGGTTGATTTTTGATTAACGTTATAATTCAATAACAGAAAGAAAAAAAATCAATTTATTAAGTAGTTGATACTTATGAATTTATTAAGTAGTTGATACTTATGAATTTATTTTTTAAAAATGCATTTGTTGCAATGACTTTTCATTAGCGGGAAAATGCTACGAAAAAATAAAATGAAAAGATTAAATGATAAAAAAAAGTAGTTACATACACAAAAATTTTTAATAATTTTATTTATTTGATTTTAATGAGCTGAGATATAAAAATTTTTCTGCTCATTTTAAAAACTGGTTAAATTAGTTTGTAATTACGTTATTAACACTTGTGCGCAAAAACTATTTAAATTTATTTATTTTAATTACTAGTGTTACATATAACAAGATTTTACTAAATGTATTAAAGAATTCTATTATAAAAAGTTTTAAATTAATCTAAAAATTGTTTTTAGATCAACTAAATTTATCTAAAAAACGAAAAAATAAAAATATTTAAAGAAAAAAAATGACAAAGTACAGTTAAAAGAAAAAATGTTCTCAAATAAATACAGCAATTATTATGTAGTTTTACATTATTATAAAATAAAATATTAATTTTTTTTTTTTTTAAACAATAAAGAATTTGAATCATTTATGAAATTGAGGTTTTTTAACCACTAGTAAAATGAAAATGATTTAAATAAGTAAAGCAAAATATATATATTGTTTACCTCAAAGTAAATTAAAGAAGTATGCCGTAAACAATAAAACTATTTGAAACGCTTATTTTGAATCAGTGTTTTTAAAAAGGTTGGGTTTACTCAAAACTTCTTAAGTCAATCTGTCCCTTTCAAAAACTCTGATTCATTTTGAAATCTAAATGATTTATGAAATTTTAGTATTTTTTTTTTTTTTTCCAAATTAAATCATAATTATTTGTAAATTGTTGTTTTTCAAAATTCTGATTTTTTAAAAACTATTTCATTTTGGGAGGTCAAAATAGCAATTTCAGTCATTTCAGGCAGTCGATGACAATTGATTTGCTCATTACTTTCCACGCTGATATATATATATATATATATATATATATATATATATATATATATATATATATATATATATATATATATATATATATATATATATATATATATTATATATTAACAATAATATAATAATCAATATCATATTTTAATTGTTTTATTTTCTCCATAAAGTTATCTAGGACAAGAATTTCTTCTTGAAAATAATACTTTGAAATTTTTCAAAGGAATTTGGAAATCAACAACAACAAAAAATATCAACAAAGATAATCCTAAAATATTTTTAAATTAAACTATGTTGGATTTATTAACTATACTAACAACCCTCAGAGTTAGGAAAAATAAGGCAATAATTTGCCGACCACAATCTTTTAAAGGTCGGCAAAAAAATTTGGTTAATAAGTCTTACCATAAAACTTAGAAACAAGGTTGGCAGTTTTTTAACTTAAACATTTTAAAGTCAGCAGTTAGGTCAGCATTGCCGAATGCAGACCCTAATTCCGAGAGTTGACTAATAATAAAATTCATATTTAGGTTTTACTTGAATTTTTCAATAAGTTAAGTAAAGTTCTATAACTAAAGTAATTAAATTAAAGAAATTCTAGTTGGAGTGCAAATAAATGATATCAACAAATATCTAATAGCAAAAAAATATTGAGCAATTATTTTCAATGATTTGTCTAAACAATGTTAAAATCTCTTTTATTAAAATAATTGAAGACTTAAATATATAGATTTTTATTTAAAAAAAATTATTTACTAAATGTAACATTAGGCTAACACACTAGACTAGACTAGACTAACAAATTAAATCTTTTACAATAATAATGAAATTACAAATGAAATCTTTTACAATAATAAAACCTAAACATTCGACTGATTATGATGATGATGATGATGATGATGATGATGATGATGATGATGATGATGATGATGATGATGATGATGATGATGATGATAATGATAATGATGATGATGATGATGATGATGATGATGATGATGATGATGATGATGATGATGATGATGATGATGATGATAATGATAATGATGATGATGATGATGATGATGATGATGATGATGATGATGATGATGATGATGATGATGATGATGATGATGATGATGATGATGATGATGATGATGATTAACCTATTAATTAATAAACTGATTTTTGGCATTTTAGTTGCTCCAACAATAAGTGTTGATCAAACCAAACTCTTTCTTACTGAAGGTGACAATGCAAATCTCAAATGCAGTGTAATTGCTGGTAATCCTCGTCCACTTTTATTTCAATGGTTTAAACTTGATTCAAACAATGTTGTACAGCCTATTACAATTGAAGTACAAGCAAATAATAATTTTGATTACAATATTTCGCAAGTGAACAGAGAAAGTCGAGGCAGTTACATATGTAGAGTTAAAAATATTAGAGGGATGCAAGACAGTCTGACAAAAATTCTTGATGTTAGATGTAAGTTTTATTTTACATATATATATATATATATATATATATATATATATATATATATATATATATATATATATATATATATATATATATATATATATATATATATGTGTATATTTATACAGGGGTTGAAATAAGTGCTTGGCTATTTTTAAGACCTATCTGAGTAGGGTAACAATCATTTTTTATTTTTTCTGACAAAATGAACAATGTTTGGTTACCCTTCTTTAACAGGTCTTAAGAATGGTCTAAGGGGCAATGTATAGCATTTATTTCTGACTCTGTATATATATATATATATATATATATATATATATATATATATATATATATATATATATATATATATATATATATATATATATATATATATATATATATATATATATATATATATATATATATATATATATATATATATATATAAATATATATATATATATATATATATATATATATACATGTATATATATATTCTTTTTTTTCTTTTTTAATATGCAAATTTACAATTAAAATTTTAATTCTATTTTGAAGTAGTTTCTTATTTTAAGTAATTGTTTAGCTTTTAATGATTGTTTAGTTTTAATTTTTATAAAACTTTTTTTTTTGGTTATAGCATGTTAAAAAAAAAGAGATAAGTTTATAAAAAGAGAAAAGAATATGTTTTCTTTTTTTTTTTTGAAAAAAAGAATTTATTATATTATTTTTCTGTTAATTTCAACAGCATAAGATTTGCTTGAATGTTGTGTATTTTTTTCATAGACAGGCCAGTTGTAATATCACCTCCATTAAATCGGTCTATATTTGAACAAGTAGGAACCGAAGAGTTTAATTGTGATGCAGATGGTAATTCTGGAACAACTATTTATAAGTGGTATAGGGACAAACCAACACCTGAAAATGAAATTTTGTTTCCAACTCCATATATTTTACAAGAAAATGATGGTAAGCGACTCAAGTTTGTCAAACCTCCACGTTCTATAGCAACAAACTATTATTGTGCAGGAAGAAATGACTTAGGGATTGGCGAAGCAAAAGGAGCATATTTGAATGTAACCTGTAAGTTTTAAAATACATTGCTTTTAATAATGATAATATTTTTATAATGTAAAAATATCCTTATTATTTATTTTTTTAAATTTTTTATTTATTAGTTTTGATTATTTTTCAATCTTTTTTTCCAAAATTTTTAACAAAGATGTTCCTGGTGAAATATATATAAAATCCGAGAATGGTGTTATAAACAGCAATAAAGATTCAAATATCACAATAACATGTCAAAGTGATGCTAACCCTCCTGCATTGTATCAGTGGTTTAAATATGAAAAAGATCTGCTTGGTATTGTTCAAAAAAGGCTTTTGCAGAGCAGCTTTTCTGGAGATTTGAAATTATATTATTTAACAACAAATGATTCTGCTGATTATAAATGTTTTGCAATAAACTATCCAGATACTTTAGATCAATACAAAGAATACAAAACAGAAAAAAAGATTACTCTCAATGTTCGATGTAAGAGATTTTTTTAACAATTAATTATTTATATTAGTAAAATCTTGCTAAAGTTGTTTTTTAATTTTTAATAGATGGACCTCAGCAAACTAACATAACAGTAAATGATGTTTTGTCTTCAACTCCTGTTGAAGTTATCGAAGACACCAAAGTTGTCATCAAGTGTATTAGTGACAGTAATCCACCAGCAATATATAACATTCAAAAAATTCCAAATAAAATTCAGCTAAATGCTAATGGAGAAAATTTCATTAGTTTTAGTACAATAAAAGTAGAGAATGAAGGCACCTATGAGTGTATTTCAATTAATAGTGTCATGAATAAAAATGAAAAAAGACAGGTTCAAATTGTTGTTACGAGTAAGTATGGATGTACTTTATATTTTATTTTAATTTTGATAATAAAGTTGTAAATATTTTAAGCATAATAATATGCAGGGATCAAATTGATTTACAAAAATACAATGGTGATTTTTTAAACTATTTATAATGCATTTTTTACAGGGTGCAGCTTAAAAAAAACATAAACCATAAATGAGGAGCATAATTTAAAGAAAAAACATAAGACAGGGTTCCCACCAGTTCTTTTTTTTATAACATATTTTTAATTAATGTTTAGTTATTAGATGTTCTCAATTTCTTGTTTATTACTTTGTATTTCATGTTATACTATTTTTGTTTAAATCAGGTTAATATCATTATTGTGGTTTTATTTTTTTTTAATGTTGCTTGCATATTTATTTCACTTTATATATAACAGGCCTTTTTAAGAAGTGTTACGCAGCCTTACTTACGGATTTGCGTATTTATTCAGCAGTTTTATGTTATGTAAAAACTTTTTTATTTGGGAATATTTAAATCCTATAATATTTTAATACTAAATTTAATGTTACTGCTGTCCTTACTCATTTGTGCAAGTTTGCAAAGAACTCACAGCAGCCATTACACCCAAGTTAATGGAAAGAGTCACATGCACTTTTTGTATAAGAAAATGCAAACTAAAGTGTATGCAAATATATAACTTATGTAAACTTTAAATGTAATGTTAAAATATATTTCAAGTTTACAGTTTTACTTTTAATTGAAAAAAAACAAAATTTCCTTGATTTTGATTTAAAGCATTAAATTTTCATTTTATAAATTTTATTAAATAGTATTAAAACTTTTATAAAGCCTTGTTTATTAAATAGTATTAAAACTTTTATAAAGCCTTTTTTATTAAATAGTATTAAAACTTTTATAAAGCCTTGTTTATTAAATAGTATTAAAACTTTTATAAAGCCTTTTTTATTAAATAGTATTAAAACTTTTATAAAGCCTTGTTTATTAAATAGTATTAAAACTTTTATAAAGCCTTGTTTATTAAATAGTATTAAAACTTTTATAAAGCCTTGTTTATTAAATAGTATTAAAACTTTTATAAAGCCTTGTTTATTAAATAGTATTAAAACTTTTATAAAGCCTTGTTTATTAAATAGTATTAAAATTTTATTTCATTTTATAAAGCCTTGTTTATTAAATAGTATTAAAATTTTATTTCATTTTATAAAGCCTTGTTTATTAAATAGTATTAAAACTTTTATAAAGCCTTGTTTATTAAATAGTATTAAAATTTTATTTCATTTTATAAAGCCTTGTTTATTAAATAGTATTAAAACTTTTATAAAGCCTTGTTTATTAAATAGTATTAAAACTTTTATAAAGCCTTGTTTATTAAATAGTATTAAAATTTTATTTCATTTTATAAAGCCTTGTTTATTAAATAGTATTAAAACTTTCATCGAACAATAGGCCTTAGTGACTGAAATGTTTAGGACGCTGCATTATGAAGTGAATTGATGTGGTTCAAATCCTTACTCTTTCAATTTCTTTTTTTTAAATCTTTTTCAATTTTTTAAAATACAAAGTAAAACATTTTTAAAGTTCTATAGATATTTTTGCTTTTATAAAGTTTTACTTTTATTTAAAAATTGCATTGCAGAAAAATATTTCACAATTAGTTTTTAATATTGTTATTCCGTCTGTATGCATTCTGGAATAAAAGCTTGAAAGCTTCTATTCCTTCTCTTCAATATTAAATCAAGCCTCATTCTACTCCACATTTTTTACCATTTTGAGCAGTCGCTTTATTAAACAGTAATTTTTTTTTCATCTTTTTTACAAGAACATCTCTCTTATACACCAATGTCTTTTTATTATTCTAAGTCCTGTCTGATGTTAAGCTCTGTTATTTTAAGTTTAGTCTTAAAAAAGTTTTCAGAATTTTCTTCAATTTTTGCTCAACTTTTAAAAAGTGCTAAATAAGTGGTTCCAATTTTTCAAAACTCTAGAAAACACTTTGACCTCTCCAGCTATCCTACAATTAGTCTTCACTCTGTTATTAATTTTTTTATATAAAGTTTTTGAGATTAATAAATTATTTCATTCTAACTGCAGAATTAAAGTTATTCTTGAAGGCCTACTCCACTTTATTTCAAGTAACTTTAAGGGTCATATCTTTGCTTTTTAAGGGTACCACAAAGTTCTATCTTCACTATCTATCAAGTTCTATGCTCCTGTAATGTTTCTTATCAACAATAAGAATCTTCTTGAAAATTTTACATCTAAAGTACTTCTATTAGCTAAGGACTCAACTTTATACTCTTGTCTTGATAAAAAAAAATTCACTTTTTGATTGATTAGAACAAGCGCCGGTTTTTAATCTGATCTCTCTTCTGTAACAGCCTAAGGCTATTATTATATTGACGAATAACAACCCTCTTACCCTCAGACAATGTATAAAAGCTTATACCTCTTACTTTCAGACAAAGTATAATTGTAAATGTAGTTAGACCTGCTTTATCTGAAAAGCATGGACCACTCTCCCATTGTTGTAAGGTTTTATTTCTTTTTTTTTCTACAAATACTATCAATGTCAATATTCAAACGGGCTATCATAACTATTACGATAAACCAAACTCATTCTTACTTGGCTTCTTATTCAACAAGTTGCATCCTTTTACTGTATCTGTACCTTCATTCTATAAAACATTTATTAATTCAGTTTTTTTCTTTGCACATCACAAAAAAGCCTTTTAACTCTTCCCCATTTTTGTGTTGTCATTTTTAATACATCTTGCATTTTTTAAATTCTTCAGTTAATCATTTTCTAGTATTTTAACCATTCTTCTATTTTAAAGTAACTCATAACCTAATAGTATTGCTTGCAATCTTGTTGGAAGTAAATTAGAATTTAAAAACATATAAATATATGCCAGTATTTAATAAATAATAAATGTAAGTATAAAATCATAATACAAAAGGTATTACAAATTTTTTTCTAGCCCCAGCTATCAACAACAGCTAAATCTTATAATTTTAACAATTCTGGGTTTGCAAAAAGTCTCATTTTTAGCTGGAGCCGGGGCCCCAGTCACTTACTATTTATGTGGGCATTTTAAACATTTAGAATACCTGCTTCAGGTATGATATCTTAAAATATTTATTAAGTAAGTAATTTTTTTTCTTGCTAACTAATTCATTATATAAAAAATCTCTTTATCTCAGATTGAAATATGTTATATAAAATCTCTCTTCTTTATATGCCCTTTTATAAACTGTTTTCTAGTATTTTTTCTAATTTTCTGAAAAATGCTAGATTTTTTTCTTTAGATTTTTTTTCATTTTCCTCTCTTTTTTTATTCTCTTTAGATTTTATTCTATTTTATAGATAAAGGGGCCTCCTACAACTGACATTCATGTCTAACATGTTTTGCCTTCTTTTCAAAACGTGCATCTTTGTGTCTATATGTTGGCAATTACAAAAATAATGTTTAATGTTTGTTTTTTTAGTTATATTTAATTTAAAAACAAATCATTAAATTTAATTGATTTCATTACTAAATAATAAACTAAATAATATCTTCAATAAACCTTACCTGAAACTATGTTTACTACACCTTTTTTCTATATATGCAATTTTGTATTATTAATTTTGTTAACAGTTAAAAAATGATCAAAATTGCTGTAAAGTTTTTTGCAACACAGTGTTATTATATTCATTAAATGAAAAATTAAACATTAAATTACATTTTACTTTTCAAAATAATACATTTTAATAAAGCAAAAAAATATTTCAATGAACAAAGAAAATTTTGGAATGACGGTTATTTCTGAAATTGTCCTATTTCTATATCAACAAGAATAAAATTTGAAATTTTTGCAGCAGTTTTTTGTCTTTTTTAGCAATACTTAGAGAAAAAAAAAAATTGTATATTGAAAATATGGAATTGTTTGATGGTTTACTATTTATATATCTATTTTGGCATAAGAATTTTAGAAAACTAAAACCCTGAAATAAAAATAAGTAAATTTTTCTAATTCTGTTTCAAATAATTTTTATTCAAAGGTAATCGAAATTTAAGTATTTTACTTATATAAAAACACATTAAACCAAATTATTTTATTTCACATTATTTTATTATAAAAACAAATTCAATAAACTAGTATTTTAACTGGCACTTAATAAATAGATCAAAATTACATCCATGAATTATTATGATTTGTTTATTTCAAAATGTTTGTAAAATTTGGATTGTGAAAGTTTTTATAAAAAAGTTTATATTTATTGATTGGTTTTTTACTTTTACACAACTGCTTGATTATTTAATTGGTTGATGCTCTAAGTTATTGTAAAACAGCTAAATAGAAATATAATACACATTATGTAAAATAGATGTTACGTAAAACAGATGTGTAAAATTTAAAAACAGTTGTTGCTGTATCATACATTTTCGTTTTGAGTTAAAGAGGGATGTTTGAAAATTATAAAAAACTATTTCTCAGTTAGATTTTTTAAGTTAATTTAGAATCCTCTATATAGATAACATTACTTGATATAATAAACTTTTTTTAAATTTTATATTTTTTAAATATAGTTTTTTTGTATATACAAAACTAATCTTTTGAATTTTTTTTAAACATTTAATTCTTGTGAATTTATCCATTGTTAATTTGCTCTTATTTTAGTCAAGCCAAAACAAATTGATCCTGTTCCAGGAGATCTAGAATCAAGTGAATATAGCACAGTATCAATAAAATGTCTTGCAACTGGAAAACCTTCTCCTAAAATTTACTGGCAGAGGTATGGTGCAAACATCACTGATGACTCAGTTATACAGCAAATTTACAATGATAAAGTTTATGTTACTGGTTACTTGACCACAATTCAGGGTGAACTAAAGTTTAATAACATTCGATATACTGATTCTGCATCTTACTCATGCATTGTTTACAACTCTGGTGGCTTTTATAATCAAACGACTAAAGTATCTGTATCTTGTATGTTTTCTTTTTTATTGTAAACTTTGTTAAAGAAATAAATCTGCAAAAGCTTACAATTAAATTTTTTATAAAAAATGACTTAAGGTTTTTAAAAGACCTTATATATTTGTGGTGAAAAACTTATATATATGCGTGTTTCCTGATAGTACAAATATTTTACATCTGAATCTTTATTTTCAAATTTATTTTATATTGTTTTATAATATAATATAAATTATTTTATATATAGACAAACCAAAGATAACTGTTAGACCTGGTAATTTCACACGGCTTGAAGATGGAGAAGATGTAAAATTTGTTTGTGAAGCTATTGCGAATCCGTCAAGTATCGCATGGAGTTGGTTTTTTAATGAAGTAGAACAATCTTCTTCATCTTCTATAACTCAGCAAAGTACTTCGACATTTATCCGTAATTTTCCAAAAAGGACTGATAATGGAGCATTTAGGTGTGAAGCTCGAAATGAGATTGGAACTGGAGAAAGTGCAATCGGTTACTTAGTAGTTCAATGTAATTTTGCATTAATTTTATTATTTAATATTTTATTTACATTTACACTTATTCTAATATTCAATATTTTAGTTACATTAATAATACTTAATTTTATTTACATTAGTTATACTTAATTTATTTTCTGTAATTTTATTAGACTTGATTAAAAAAAAATTTATATTAACAATTATAAAAAAAAAAAAAATTTATATTTTTATATTTTTATACACAAGACCCACCTTCAATAACTGAGTTTCCTAAAGATCAAGTTGTTAATGAATCAGCTAACATAGTATTTTCCTGTAAAGCTGATGGTATTCCACAGCCTCAAATATCATGGAGTAGGGCAAGCGATAACAAGTTTGAAAAATTTGTCTCAATCTTGAATATTAATAATGTGAAAGCAGTAGACAAAGATGAATACACATGCAATGCAGTTAATAGTGTTGGAGTGGATTCAAAAAAAGTAAAATTACTTGTGAATAGTAAGTATTGTTGAAAAGTTGTTGTTCATTGATTTATTATATTGACTAATTTTTAAGAAAATTCTTAAGATATTATATAATATATTTATTTAGATTTGTTTTGTTTTACAAAGTTTTAATATTTGTCTAATGTCATCTGATTTTTCTGATCAACAATCTACAGTTTTATGTCCAAATATTGTTTATGTCTAATATTCTTAATGAAAATAATAGCATTTATTGAGTAAAGCATTTTAAAAAAGTAAAATTCTTAAATTAGTAAAAAGTTAAAAAATATCTTCACCACAGTGATTTTAAAAAAGTATACTTTCCAGTGCAAGCTTTTATTAAAGTGTAAAATCATAAATGAAATTTTCAAAAAAGTTACTAAATTAAGTTGGATATTAGTAAAGTTAAAATTGGAAGTGACAAAAATGAATTGTTAGTAAAATTGTGTGAAAATTAAATTTTAAAAAATCAGTTATTATTATTTCCAAAAGACCAAATCTACAGAGAAAATCTATTTCATTACAGAAAAAACCTCTTATAGTTTGAAATTAGCAAATTTTGAAAATGTGAAGAAAAAAATGTTTGAAAAGTGTTTTATTATTATAAAAAATATGATTCTCAAACATGAAATATGAGATATGAATTTAAAACAAAATATTTCTTGCACCCTAACCTTGATTTGTTGCCCCATAAAAACAAGGGCAATGGAGAGTGGAGAAAAAGTTGGGTATCAATATATATATATATATATATATATATATATATATATATATATATATATATATATATATATATATATATATATATATATATATATATATATATATATATATATATATTAATACCCAATAAACACAAGGGATCTTTAACTGCTGACACAAGTTGTGTTCATGTTGAAGTAAATGTTTAAAAAAAACATTTGGTCTAAATTTTTTTGATTAAAAATAATTAATGAATGCACACCATTGATTTTAAAAATCGCATTTTAGTCGAAGCTTGCTGTCTCCATTTTTTTTGGTTCTCAGAGTCTGTATAATGTTAGCCGCAATCTGCTGACTTGATAATTTATTCCATGCGTGTTTAATTCATAACAGTTTTGGTATATGAGGTCATCGTATAAATTTTCAAGATACCATATTTTTTTTCATCATCACCAAATCATGTTAATTGAATATAACTTTTTACTAAATCCCAAAAAAAAGTTTGTGATGCAATTAAAAATTAATTTAATAAAATTTATAAAAATAAAAATTTAATATATAACAAATATTTACAGTAAAATGTACTGGTTTAAACTAAATATAAACTAGATACTAAAAGAATAATTTTACTAAAGCGTATATATTAATTTAAAGTATAAACTGAATAAAAAATGAGCGACTTGAATAAAAAATATAAACTGAACTAAGTAGAAAATAAATATTAAACAAATTATTTTACTAATAACCATATAAATCAAACTAAATTAAAGTTAAAACAAATATTTGTATAGTTATAGTATAATAGTTATAATATAAATATAAAAACGAAGAATCACATTAACTTGTACACTACCAACCGAACAAAAATCTTTTAGTAGCAACCGTACATTTTTTTAAATGAAATTTTATAATAATAAAGTTTTTAACATGCATCATTAAACAATAACAAATACAAAGTGCTTAAAACCGTTGTTTTTATAAAGTAACTAAAACATTAAGTTCGAAACAAACCTCATTTAATGAATAAAAATAATATTTTTTCTTCAAAATACTTTGGTAATTACTTAACTAATTTCTTCACACTTCTTACAAGTTAAGTTTTATAGTGTTAGCCAGGGGTGTTGAGTCGTAAAAAAAAGTAACGACTCCGACTCCAGTTGTTGAAATTTTTTGAGTACAACTCCTACTCCAACTCCAAAGCAAAATTTTTGAAAAATTCTTTGAATTCTTTAAAAAATATTGCGCAATAAATTGAATTTTTTTTTTTTTGACAAATTTATGAAACATTCTTTGAGGTTTAGTATGAACATAAGGTTAATTGAATGTTTTGTACATGCACGTGCAATACCAAGAAATTTTACTATCGGAGTCAGGTATTTTTTAGCAACTCCGATTTCTTATTTTTTCTTGATTAATTAGAGAATTAATTAAACCTTTAGAAAAAACAAATTCTGTGTCTAAAATGGAAATTTATGTACAAAACAAGATGAATTGTAAAACATACTTGAAGGCTGCTACCAGTGGCTTGCGGTAGTGAAAAAGTTAAACCATAACTAAATGTAAATTAAACATAAAACAAACAACTCTATTAAACCATATGAACTATAAATAAAATGAAAAACTGCATCATACTGCTTTTATTTTCTGCCTTTATTTTAACTCTAATAATCACAAAATATGTATAATTGTGTCATGATTTTAGCTGGCTTCTAAAATAAAGTAATAATAAAGCATATAAATATAAAAATATATGTATTTATATTTGCATATTTTTTACTAAATCACAAATATTTTTTGTAATTTAGTAAAAAATTATACAAATATTTGATTTTCTGATTGTAGTAGAAAAAATACTTATATCTTTACAACAAACAAAACAATACTTATATCTTTACAACAAACAAAAAAGTGCTATCTTAAAAAGATATTGCGATGACATCATATACCAAAACAGTTATGAATTAAACACGTATGTAATAAATTATCAAGTCTGCAGATTACGACTAACATTATACAGACTCTGATAACCAAAAAAAAATGGAGAAGGCAAGCTTCGACTAAAACGATAACTTAAATTTTGTTGGTATGCATTCATTATTTAGTTTCAATCAAAAAATTTAGTTAAAATATATATTTTTTCAATGTTCATTTTTCTTTAATATGTTGATATTACAAGACAACTTGTCTCGGCAATTGGGGATCCCTTTAAGACATATTAAAACATTTTAAATTAATTTAAATTTTTGATGTAACAGTTATGATAAAGATATTTTGATGGGCAGTTATGATAAAACAAAAACTTCATAGGTTTATATTCTCATTTCAAATAGGAACTATTTTGTCTTATTAAAATAGCCATATTCAAAAGTGTTAAATATAAATCTATGTTGTATTTAAAACTTTTACATATTTTAATTTTTCAGAAATTATTTGTTTTATGTTTAGGCAAGCCTATGATACTCACTAAAAATCCAAGTGAAACAAAATTTGGTGCTACAATTGGCATGATGGTAAATCTTATATGCTCTGTGAGTTCTTATCCCATTGGAACTATTGTGTGGAAAGACAAATCTTCTGCAACCTTAATTAGGGATGGAATCAATGGATATTCCATCACTGCTCCAAATAGAAATGAATTTTCACAAAAAAGTACACTTTCAGTGAGTGCTACTAATGAACTTCTGGGAAAAGAATATTTGTGTCAGGTTACCAATGACTATGGGTCTGATGAACAAGTTTTCTCCATATTGGCAAAAGGTTTTTTTTTATATTACACTAACATCTAAAATTTTTAAATAATGTTTAGAAATTACATCATAAATATTTATTATAAAAATTATTGCATTTTAAAAATGTTTGACAAATCTTGTAATTTGTCCTATATGGTTGAGTATAAATATTGTTGGTATGTATATGTTTGGTAAAGTAGGTTTTTATTGTAACATCTTTCTATATGATATTAAGTACCATAAAATGTTCAAATTTAAATACTAGCTATTTGTTTAAGGTTTTAAAATAAAACCTTAAATTTTTAAAAAGAATTTAAATACATTTAGTTAAATAAATTTAGTTAGCCTTAGAACTAAGTTTTAGAACTAATTTAGCCTTAGAACTAAGTTTTAGAACTAGGTTAGCCTTAGAACTAAGTTTTAGAGTATTAGATTCAGAGTTGTTAACAAAGCCAAAAGTAGCAAGGCCAAGGCCACACATTACAAGACCAAGACCAAGGCCAAAAGTTTTAAGGTCAAGTCCAAGATTAAGAGTTTCAAGGCCAAGACCTACGCAAACATTTTCAAGACCAAACACTTCAATTTTTGCACTACATTAAGGCCAATTATTAACAAAACTAATAATACCACATTTTGTTAAAATAGACCAAGGTTATGCGCAGAATTCAATGAAATCAATAAATAGATATGTATTTTTTTTTTATTTTCAAAGTTTTTAAGGCCAAGGTCAACAGTTTCAAGGCCAAGGTCAACAGTTTCAAGGCCAAGGCCAAGGTCAACAGTTTCAACAAGGCCAAGGTCAACAGTTTCAAGGCCAAGACCAAGGCCAAGGCCTCAATTTTTGGCCTTAAGGCCAGGCCAAGACCAATGACTACCAACTCTGATTAGATTCATTAGAAAGAGTTTGTATTTTATGGATTTTGATATAATTAGTTATAAAAAATAACAGAAAGAGTTTGTATTTTGCAATGTTGATATAATTAATTATAAATTATATATAGTTCATTTATTTATATTAAATTAAACATGCTATATATAGAAATTATTAATGTAAATCTATTATGTTAATATAATTTTTAATAGCTTATCTAGAATAATCCTAACAGTCTATTTAAATGCTGAAAAAGATTAAAATTTATTAAAACTATATAAACTTTTAAAAAAAATCTAGCCATTTACTCTATAACATATTAAAGGAACTACTATGATTTTGATTTCAACAGATAATATAAGTTATGAACAAAGTTCTCAAGGGTTCTACATTTTTTTTATCAATTTAATACTTGATGAGAGTTAATGTATATAGTGCTATTTTTTTAAACAAGAATTTATGAACACTTACATGAAGATATTTATTTTATATATTTATACATATATATATATATATATATATATATATATATATATATATATATATATATATATATATATATATATATATATATATATATATATATATATATATATATATAGTATATGTATATATATATATATATGTATATGTATATATTGGTAAAAGATTTTTATAGTAATAAAAGTTTAATTGTTATCAATTTTAAAATTTAGGAAAACCTGATATGATTTATCAATTGACAGCGGAGGATATTATTCAACCAACAGTTCCAGTTACAGTAAACATTACACTAAAGTGGATTCCGGGTTATGGTGGAGGTTTTCCTGTAGAGTTTATTTTACTTTATAAAGAGAGCAATGATGCGAACTTTCGTCAACAATATATAGGTGCAGCAGAGGGTAATGTGTTTGTATTTACAAATCGTAAAACATCGACAGAGTATGTCTTTTCTATGCTCTCAAAAAATGAAAGAGGTATCAGTGATCAATACAGCCCTCTTTTAAAGTTTCAAACAAAAGGTAGTTGTAATACTTTAAAATCAATCATATAATTAAAAAATAATAAAATGTAAAAGTTAAATAGAAAGCAAAAAAAAAATAGTTATGCTAAATTATTCTTTTATAATTATGTTAAACAGGTTAGTTAGGTTATAAAATTTTAAAGATTTTTAAAAAAATGTTTAATTAACAAGTGTTAATAGTGTTTGTTTGTTTTATTATTGTTTGTTTCATTTTTGCTATTATTTTTATTGTTATTATTTTGCATTAAAGTATATATATAAGTTAAATTGTACTTAAAAAAACTTCTTCACTTAAAATCAAAATTTAAAAAACAATTTCTTGAGTTCTTTTATTAGTCATCATTTATTTTCTAAACAATTGTCTGGTTTTGTCAGATAAAAGGAATTTGAAATTCATATTTATACAAATTTATTTATGGTATTGAAAACAAGGATTAATAAGGTTGTACTTTACAAACTCTCAGTTGATAAAAATATATTTTAAGAAACTCAATATATATTATAAATATATTTTAAGAAACTCAATATATATTATAAATATATTGAATATAAACTCATTTTTAAACTTGTGGTAGTCATGTTATAATTTGGTTGTCTTGGATAAAACAAAAAATTTAAAAGAGTTTTTTTACAGATATAAATAAATATATAATAATAAAATGAATAAATAAAAGATTTGAAGTGGAATGATTGTGAAGATATACAGAATACAAAAAAATATGCAAAGTTTTGAACAGAAAGATGACAATAATATAGAAAAATATGCTAATTGAAAAAAGAAAATGAAAAATGACTGTATAGCAACCGTGACAACACTAATAGCAACAGAATTAAAAATAAGAGAAATAAAATCAAAAGAAGACGAGTAAAAAGTAAATAAAATTTTTAAGCTCATAAATCAAGAGAATGAATTACCAAAATTTTGTTAGACAGCTGAGATCTAAAACAAATAAACCCAATTAAACAAATAAAGTCCAATTCTTGTTGAATTAGCTAATGATTTTCTTTGCAGTGCCTTCTTAGCATCAATTAAAAGAGTGAGAAGTAATGTCACACATAAAGATATTTACAAGTTTGACTGAAGCTTTTTTTTTTATTTTTTAAGCATCTTCGCCTTCAACAAGCTTGCAAGCAACCAATAATTAGTGTTGGAAGTTACTGGAAGAGAAAACATGAAGATTGTAGAGCAAGATAACATTTGACAGACAACTTGAAATATTGCAAATTATATGAATCAGGAAAGCAAGATAAAGAAAGCGAATTCCAAAGAACTGATGTTGGAAGGAAAAAACTAGACAAATAAGGAAAAAAAGAAAAAAAAAAAGAAAAAATAAAGACAAAGTTTTTTGGAGCACTTAGGAACAGTAACAGAAAAAGGATGAGACTTAATTGAATAACAAGTAACACGAGAATGAATTTTATTAGATGGCACAAGAGGCGCTAGCTCTTTAGAACAGTACCCATTATAGTATTAGTAAAAAAGAGAAAAATTAATCCCAGAAGATCAGTTAATCCCAGAAGATGAAGGGTAGATGACTCATCAAGTACATTACCGTTCATAAATATAGGAAGGTCTAAATTATTGCGATAATGATTGGCTGAAAAAAGTTGATTTTTATCTGAATTAAAGTTCACTAGCCACTGTGAGCCCCATGCTGTAGCAGAAGTGAGATCTTTTCAAGTTCTAATGCCCCCTGCAGAATAAATGGTAGTATCATTAGTGAACAATGCCACCTTAGATGTGAGAACATCTGGAAGATCATTAATGTAAATTCAAAAAAGTATAGGGCTTAGGATTGAACCATGAGGAACCCCTGAGGTTACAGAATAAGAAGAGTGCTGTCCATCAAGGACAACTTTTATACTATGATTGGAAAGGAAGGATTCAATAATCTTAAAGATGTTTTCAGATACACAGTTAGAAGAAAGTTTATGGAGAAGACCAGCATGCCAAACTTTATCAAACGCTTTAGAAATGTCAAGAACAATGGCCTTAACCTCTCCAGCTTTATCTAATGCGCGATAAAACCTATCGGTTATTACTGTTAGCAAATCAGCCGTAGAACGAGAAGATCAAAGTCCATATTGATGATCAGAAAGTAAGTTATTAGATTCAAGATGAGAGATTAAGTGTTTGTTAATTAAAGATTCAAAAACCTTGTTTATGATAGGAAGAAGACCAATGGGACAGTAGTTAGACAAATCAGATCGCTCTCCAGAATTTTTAAAAATAGGGATAACAGATGCTGCTTTCCAGCAGGCTGGAAAACAAGACTCTGATAAGCACTTGTTGAATAGTTTTGAAAGGATAGACAACATCTCTGGAGAACACTTCTGCAAGACTATAACAGGTATGTTGTCCAGGCCGCAAGCTGTAGAAGAGCCTGAGCAGGAAATCACTTTAGATACAGAAGCTGGAGTGATATGGATGTTGAGCAATGGATCAACCTGTTCGACGGCTATATCAGGTAGAGCGCAACTAGTGGAGTCAAGAGATGATATTGATGAAAAGTTCTTAGCAAACAATTCAGCTTTGTCTTTAGGTGAGGTGACAAAGTCTGAACCATACAAAAGAGGTGGAATTACAGACTTGCCCTTATTATTGATACTATTAAAGATTATCCAGAAGTCACGAGAGCCTAACTTTTGTGATGAAATACGAGATTTCATGATCTGAGAATAGCGGGCTTTGGTGTTAGACAAAACCTTTTTAAAATGGTTCCTAGCAGTAATAAACAGTTGTCTGTTTTCTGGAGAATTGTTTTGTTGATAGATATAGAAGAAATGGTTTCGATTAGCAATTGCAGCAGCACAATGTGAGGAAAACCATGGAGAAGAGTGAGGCTTGACCTGGAATTGTCGAGAGGGAATAAAGGGTTCCATGCCAACCTGAATCCACGAAGTTATGTAAGAAGCACATTTGTTAACAGGAAGACAAAAGATTTCTATCTTAGGGCCATCATGAAGAAAATCACGAAAAGAGTGCTAGTCAGCTTTAAGGTAGTTGTAAGATGTATGATGATAGGGGGATTCTGATGATAAAGAAGAATGAGATAATAGTTTTAGAGAGACAAAGCCATGATCGGAAGCCTCTAAGGGTGAATGTGGAGAAACTGAGCACTGACTAGGATCAGAAACAAGACACAAGTCGAGTAGAGAAGGTAAATGATTTGGGTTGTCTGTAAAGCGAGTTGGAAAGTTGACTATTTGAGTTAGGGATTGAGAAAGGCAAAAGATGTAGGCTTTAGTGCCTGCAGAGAATAAATGAATCAATCCACTGAAAAACCAAGCCACTGAAAAAATAAATGAATCTAGCAGAAACAGAAATTAAATGAGTTCAAAGTGGTAATTGAGCAATACAAACTTTTAATACAATTTTCTTTGACTGAGATTGTTTAAAAGTGATTCAGTGGTAAACATTGAAGGTTTCCATCTGTATAGGAGAGACAGATCAGACGGTCTAAAAAGTTATGGTGTCTGTTTGTATATAGACAACTCACTTGAAACCTATTAACTAAATGATGCTGTTCTATATCCCTGTAAACGAGAACAATTGGGCAGTTGTTTGTTTTGGTAATAACAAGTATCTACTTGGATGTATTTAAATGTATAAGGCCAAATGATTTTTTTTGACATGGCAGAATTTGATTTGGTTTAAGGATGTAAATATATAAAGATTTACTGATTATAAGCTGCTTCAATTTCCTATCAATTAGCTGGTCAAATGACTGTGTTGATGCAATTTCAAATGATGATGGAATTAAATATAAATTTACAGATATTTTAACTGATAATTTTCTTTTTCAGCATATCAACATACCAACTTTACAGCTATCAGATGAACAACTTAGGAATACCTTAGATTTTACTAATATTATATTACATAATGTGGAATAGACCATTTCATATTATATTAGATAATGTGGAATAGACCATTTCATATTATATTAGATAATGTGGAATAGACCATTTCATATTATATTACATAATGTGGAATAGACCATTTTATATTATATTACATAATGTGGAATAGACCATTTCATATTATATTACATAACGTGGAATAGACCATTTCATATTATTTGTTTTGTTATTGCACCTTAATGAAAAACAGTTAATTTTATTTTAATAAGAATTTTAAATGATGTAACATTCTTAACTTTTTGAAAAATTTAATTAAAATATTTTAAATAATGTAAATATTTTAAATATTGGTAAATGTTCTTTAAACTCAAAAAGCATCTGTTAACTTCATCTGAAACTTTTTAATAAGTTGTTGTTGTTTTTTTTTGTAAAAATCAGATGCCCCACCTCCTGTTGCTACAGTGCGTATGGAACCTGATCCAAGTGGTACTGCTGTTGTTATTTTTTGGACAATTACTCAACTTCCTTCTCAGAGAAAACTTGGAGAAATATCAAACTGGGACTATGGATTGGTACAGTATCGCATAGTAGATAAGCAAAAAGATTGGACAGTGAACAAAATTGTAGAAATAGGGATCAATGGTTCATATAAGGTGTCAGAATTGAATGGTGAAGAGTATTATGAGTTTCATTTTGTTTTGTTTACAAACAGTGGAGAGTTTGGTCTTCCAGTTGATGTGGGCAAGCGTAAGTATTTAGTTTGGTTCTCTTTTTCAAATAAGTTTTACTAGTTATAATAGACATGAGTTTTAAATAAATTTAATGTTTTCTAATGGTTTATTAAATACAAAGTGTTTAATAAATTGGTTTACTAATTTTGATTAAACAACATGTTAAATTACATATTTTTACTATTATGTACACAAACGGAATGTATAAAAATTAGCACAAGTTCAGTACTATCTGGGATTAAAATCTTTGCTATGGTTACTTTTTTATATATAATACTATTGTTTTTTGAAGCTTTATAACTGGATGATAGGGTAAATGCAAATTTTATAATAATAACTTAGGGATCAAAGGGGAGATTTAAAAGCAAATAAAGAATTCATGACACCCTGTTTAAAATATACCTTTAAATCACATAAAGCACTTCTTTTTATTTAACTATTTGTAAAATTTACATATTATAATAGCTTTCTGTAATTAAAAAAAGTATTGTTTTTAACATCTTTACTTTGTCAGGAGCACTTTCACTGTAAACTTCTAGTCTAATTACAACTGCTAATAAAGCTCTTATTAGCAGTTGTAACCCTCTACTTTGCAAAAAGTTAGTGTCTGCAACTAAATGTTATTAGTGCAAGCTATTTCAAGAAGTAAAGAAGAGTGCAATAAGTACATGTAGGGTGCAGAAGAAAAAAAAGGGTGAAATATGTACATGTAAGTTGCAGAAGAAGAAGGGTGCAATATGCATTAAGTAAAACAACTCAATTATTTCATTAATTGTAACAATGTAGTAACAATTCTCATAAACATTGTAACATTTTTGTATTCATAGAAGTTTAGTTTGTATTATAAAAGTTTTATATTGTTATAGCAAATTAATTTGCATTTTGTGTTAATATTTTTCAACAGTTTCTAGAGGAAGCTACTGTTTATACATATCACATTAAAGAATTTAAAAATATATAAAGGATGTTAAATAATGTAAAATTTTAACATAACGCAGTATTTTGTCATAAAATTTTTGAATATGCATCATAAATTTAAAACATACAACAATTGTTAAAGTTGTATGTTTAAAGTTTACATGACAATTGTTGTCATGTAAACTTTAAACATAACTGGCATAATTTTTCCCACACAATCTTTGAACTTACTGAAAAAACCAACCTAGTAAAGATGATTTCCAATTAAAACAATAGTAACAATTTATCAAAAAGCATTTTATCTTCTATATTATTAATGTTTATGTTTCAATGGTTTTTAATTTAACGCAAATTTTTGCTTTAATTTGTAAGTTTGAACATAATTTTTTTTTTTTTTTAGTTTATCCGAAAACTGGTCCAAGAGCAGAAGAAAGAAAAGCTATGTCTAAAAATGATATTATTGCAATTGCAGTAGGTGTTGGTGGAACAATATTGTTGGTGTTAGTTATTGTATTATTTATTATGATATACAAAAAGAGAAGTAGCAAGATAACATATACATCAAGCTACAGTGAGTTTTTTTGTTTTTTTTTATTTTGGTTGTATTTATAGAAGTTTTCAAAGAAAATGTATTATAGAAAATATAATTTTAAGTATATATATAAAGTAGAATATATAATTTTTATAATTATTAACTATAAAAATGGCTTATTGTTTTTGTTTCTACAAACTATAAAAATATTTTAGAATTAGATTAAATTGACTTTTGTTTTTGACTATTGACTATTGTCCTTGTTTTAATGTTTTTATCCAATAGTAATACTCAAAGAATTAAACAGGAATTTTTTTTTCAAGATGGCAAAATCATTGTTCCAAATTTTTTGTAATAAAATTTTAAATTTGTTTGAAAGTCTCCCCTACAAATTCAAATTATTGGTAAATACAATATTTATGTTTGCCTTACATTTTAAAACATCCTGTATGAATATTTAAGAAGTACATGTTAATATAATATCTAAATACTATTTTTTTCTAAAAATTGAAATTTTATATTCTAATCTAAAATTATTCTCTTTGCTTTGTATGGCTTTGTTGCATGGTACTGGATATTTGCAGCTTTTCATTTACCATTTTTTAAATCTGTTTAGAAATGTTTAGAAAACTAATTAGCAGGACAATTTATTGAAACTAATAATGTGCTTTAGCTGGTGTCTGTATAATAACTTATTTTTAAAAAACATATTAAAGCAGTTGCAATTTTTATGTAACAATATTGTAAAAATATATATTTTTTTTTATTTATTTATTTTTTTTTTTGGAAAATTTTTGTATTCATCAACTTAATAGCATTATTTTTTATATTGTCTCTAAATTTGAACTCTTAAAAATTGTGCACAAAAATCATCTTTAAAAAAAAACATTAATATGTATATGATGTAATAAACACTGAAATACTTTTTAATATTATAGATAATGGTCGTGTTAAAGTTGATCTTCCAACCTCTGCAATAAAAAGGTTAGAGTTTTTATTTTTATTTTATTTTGCATAAATAAATGTTAAAGAATTTATCTTTTTATTTTTAACTTTAAAAATTAAAATAGTGATGTTGTTCGTGCAAGTTTTGCTAGAGAAGATGAAGATCCTTTTGCTAATGATAGTTCTTTTCTTGATGACGATAAATCGCCTCCACCTGATTACCAGGATAGTAAGTAATTGAGAAACTCCTTATTTGGATTGTATTTTACATAATAGTTTATTTTTTATATATTAATTCATTATAAAGGATTCAATGTTGAAACTGAAGTTGTGACTCCTAGCTATACTTCTTTTGGTAGACTTCCTAAAGGAGTAAAGCAACCAGGTATATTTTATATAAAAGAATTTAATTTTTTTAATTTTAATAACTAAGATTTTATTTGAAGGGTTTAACATTTTTTTAAATTTAATCAGTAAGAATTTATATAGAAAGGGTTTAATATATCTTAAAATTTATTCAATGAGATTTTATATAGAAATATTTAATACTTTTTTAAATTTAATTAGTAACAATTTATATAGAAGAATTTAATATATTTTTAAATTTAATCAGTAAGATTTTATTTAAAGGGTTCAATTTTTTTTAATTTAATCAGTAAGAATTTATATAGAAATATTCAAATTTTTTAAAATTTAATCTGTTAGATTTTATATAGATATGTTTAATATTTTTTAAAATTTAATCTGTTAGATTTTATATAGATATGTTTAATATTTTTTAAAATTTAATCTGTTAGATTTTATATAGATATGTTTAATATTTTTTTAAATTTAATCAGTTAGATTTTATATAGAAATATTCAAATTTTTTTAAGTTTAGTCTGTTAGATTTTTTATAGATACGTTTAATATTTTTTAAAATTTAATCAGTTAGATTTTATATAGAAATATTCAAATTTTTTTAAGTTTAGTCTGTTAGATTTTATATAGAAATGTTTAATATTTTTTAAAATTTAATCAGTTAGATTTTATATAGAAATATTCAAATTTTTTTAAATTTAATCTGTTAGATTTTATATAGACATGTTTAATATTTTTTTAAATTTAATCAGTTAGATTTTATATAGGAGGATTTAATATTTTTTTAAAATGTAATCAGTTAGATTTTATATAGAAATATTTAATTTTTTTTTAAATTTAATCAGTGAGATTTTTTTTTAATGAAGTTTATAAAAATCATTATGCAGGAATTTCGTTCAATTTATAAGTAGTATAAATGAAGGGAAGAAAAAACTTGTATTATACTTAGGCAAATATGACCCAGTATCAAAATCTATGGTTCAACTTCCTGGTCGTCCTACTGAGATTATTCGTGGAAGATATTCTATGAATAATTTAGAAGAGTATCCAGAAAAATATGGTATTGAAGACTAATCATTTTTGTTTTTTAGTCACTCTGTTGTTGTTTTTTTGTGACAGAAGACAAAACCTTATTATGTCCATAAAATCTTCTAATATGAGATTAATGACCATATATTAAATTTTATTTAGTTAATATTAATTGTAACTATGTTAAATAATTTAAATTGCGGTTCTTCATTTTTGTATCCCAATCCCTCCTTGCTATACTTCTCCTTAATGTTTACATTTTTTTCACTCCACCACAGAGAATGATCCTCTCCTTCGTCATTCTAAAAATGAACTTGGTGACAGTTACCACCCACCTGGAAAGAAAACAAACCTAAGAAATAGTAGAGGGCCACCTTTAACAGGTAAATGTCCCCATCATCCAGTTTTTTAGTGTTTATAGTAATTTTTTGTAATTGTATTTCTAAACTAACAAATTGTTATTATTTTATCATTTTGTGCTTAATTTTATAGAGATTTTGTCTTCTGAGCACATAATTTAAATGATAACAGTTACTAATAATAATTACTAATAATGTTAATTAATAATGATAATAATTACTAATAATATTAATTAATAATGATAATAATTACTAATAATATTAATTAATAACGATAATAGTTACTAATAATATCATTTACCAATGATTATAGTTACTAAGCATAATAATTAATAATAACAATTACGAATGATTATATTAAGTAACAATACTAGTTACTAATGATAACAGATACTAATGATTATAGTTACAAATGAAAATATTTACTAATGATAATAATTACTTATGATAATAATTACTTATGATTAAAGTTATTAATGATAATAATTACAAATGGTAATAATTACTAATAATAAAACTTACTAATGATTATATAAGTAACAATAATAGTTACTAATAATAATAGTTACTAATGATAATAATTGTTAATGATAGTTACGAGTGATTATAGTTACTAATGATAATAATTACTTATGATTAAAGTTACTAATGATAATAATTACTTATGATTAAAGTTACTAATGATAATAATTACTAATGATATTTTTGAGTGATTATAGTTACTAATGATAATAATTACTACTAATAATAAAATTACTAATGATTATATTAAGTAACAATGATAGTTACTATTGATAATAGTTTCTAATGATAGTTATAACTTTAACTACTGTTTTTGTTTTTAAAATATGACTTTTAATTTTTACCTTTTTAAATTTGTTTAAAATCTATCCAGAGGTGTACACTGGATTTTTGTTTATTTTTCATGTAATGTTTGGGTGTGACACTTACAGGCATTGTGCAAACTTCAAACTTTTGTATGTTTATGTCAAATGAGAATGTTTTGCAAAGAATTGCAGTGATTGGAGCTTGTGGACAGAAAAACCCTAATTTTTGGGCCCACCCAGCCCTTAACGTGGGAGCAACAAGTTTATTAAACATTTTCTTTAGTATTTTTATCTAAATTTATATTCATCAACAAGTTTGAAATTTCATGCAACAATCTATTGGTGTTCAGTTATGACCCTGCAAAGTTTACAGCTCCCTCAAGTTGAGGGGGGGGGGTTTAAACTTAATATGGTCATAATTTTCAAAAAAATAAGAAATTATTGCATGAAATTTGAAATTTGTCGATGAATATAAATTTAGATAAAAAATAGTAGAAAAAATATTTTATAAACTCATTGCTCCCACATTAAGGGCTGGGTGAGCCCAAAAATTAGAGTTTTTTTGTTCCTAAGCTCCAATCCCTGTAATTCTTTGGAAAACATTCTCATTTGATATAAGCATGAACATACAAAAGTTTAATGTTTGCACAATGCCTGTAAGTGTCACAATTCAAACATCTGAAAATCCAGTAAACACCTCTGCTATCATAGTTATTACTTTGTGTTTTAGATGATCTTCCAGAACCACCAATTATAAATCCTTCTTTAGATGATAAAAAACTCAATAATCGAGTTCCTGGAGCGTTTGGTGATAAACGTTTAAATAATGCAGGAAATCCAAAGGTACACTTCATATTTGTTTTTTAAATTAAAAAAATTAATTGTTTTTATCAATTTCTTGATTTTTTATTTTAATTATTTTTAACATCCTTGTTATTACCATTGCTTTACTTTACCTGCACAAAATTACAGATAATGTCATTTTTTTAATAACAATATTTTGCTTTTTCCTAATTTTTAATATTACCTAATACAAAGGTCATTTCAGGTCATCTTTATTTTGTTGCAGTTCTAACTTTTTTTCTTTAAAACTACTATAATGTTGATAACATATTATTTGTCTTCGCTGATTCAAATTTTTGTGTAATGAAAACATTCAAAAATTAAAATTTTGCATAAAGAATATGTTGCATTGTATGTTAGAAGCACTCACTTGATTTAAATTCTTTATTCTTTCACATGCTGTGCATTTTATCCCCATATGTTGCCTAAATTTAGCAACCGTATTGTTAATTCTCTGGGCACATGAACTGTAAAAATATTTTATTACTTTTAATGATACACCTTTTGTTGAGGCCATAAACATAAATCTTTCTCTTGCTCTTGAAGATCATTAAATAATCATTTCATTCTTTCTGATTCAATCATGACTTCTAATAATAAAACACATCTAAGCAATCTATCTTCTACTTTTTTTTTAATTTTCTTTTCTACTTTTTTTTTTACTTTTTTTCACTTTTTATTAACTTTTTTTAAACACATACAAATTTAATAATCTATAAGCTGCTTTACCACTACACATCAAAATAGCACATACTATTCAGACATACCACTACACCTCAAAACATATTATTGAGCTTGCTTTGATTATTTTTTATATCCCATGCTGTCTGTTTCCAGAATTTATTACTCGATCATATTTGTATAACATTTTTTTTATTAACACTAAGCTCTTAAGGTTCTATTCTAATTCTTGTTTTTTCTAGAAAAAAAAACTTTTTCAAAGAGAACCAATCAGGATAAAAGTTCAGAAGTATAGAATAAAAGTTCATAACTTACTTTCACTCATAACTTAATATAAAAGTTCACAGCTTAAAATAAAATTTATGAAATTCATAACTTAATATAAGTTTCTAGCTTAAAATAAAGTTTATGAAATTCATAACTAAAAATAAAATTCATGTTACTTTCACTCATACCATGTAATACTTATTGTTTGTATGAGCAACAGTTAATCCAGGTTGTAAATGCACAATTAAAATAATTTAGTAAGTAGTATTTATGGAAAAGAGAAAGAGATAGAACCTAACAACAATAGGACAGTGGTTCAAGCTTAGCAGTTCCAATAACTTTGCAATGGAATGTTTGTTTTTCATGAGAGGTATAAGAGTAGTGACAGATAATCTGAGAATATGTAAGAACTCAGTGTTGCTATTCATCGATATAAAAATATTAAAAAACGTGTGATATTTATTAGCAGTTAATAACTGAGTTTTGTTTGAGTTAAAATTCACTAGTCATTACAAGCCCATGCTGTCACAGAAAAGAGGTATGATTATTGGTAAGATTGTTAATATAGATTAGGAAAACCAAGAAAACCAAGGATGGAACCTTGAGCTACTCCAGAAGTTACTGGAAACGAAAGAGAGTGTTGTCCATCAAGTCAAGAGAGTGTTGTCCTTCAAGTCAAGAGAGTGTTGTCCATCAAGTCAAGAGAGTGTTGTCCATCAAGGGCAACTTTAATACTAGGTAAATCATTGAAAAACCAATTTGTGGGTCACCATCTCTGATTTTCCTGATTTTTACATATTGTTATGTGCATTATCAGGGCCTATTCTAGGAAAAAAAATTTGGGCGTGGCACCCCCTCGTTTTGGCGCACTTTAGCAGAAAATCAGCTTTTTTTTCACGAAAAAACAATGTTTGCCGTAAAAACGTTTAAAAAAAGAAGTCCTCAAATTTTAATTTAGGCAGTGTCCAAATACAGTTGATGCTGTCAAAAACAGTCTAGAATAGCCCCTGATTATGTAGAAAGACTAAATTTGAAATTTAGACTTTAAATTTAGACCAAGTAAAATGTACACAGTAGCCCACCTTGATTTACAAATGGTCAAAACAGACTACTTTAGAGCTCTATAACTTTTTTTTTCGCTTTCAACAAATGTCTCATTTCTTCTAGAACTATTTTCTGGATAGTTCTCTCCTTAAAAAAGTGGTTTTTATTAACTTGTATTAAATTAGAGAAAAATTATGACCTCAACTTAGGAAAAAATCTTAAAACTTCTAAAATATGCTAAAATGAAACTAACTCAAGCATTTTTCTATTCATCCACAAATCTTTACAGAAAAGTTTTCTGATTGGCTACTGTTGTCTACCATAAATAACCAAAATATAGGCAACTTTTTGCAGTTTAGAACTCAAATATATTTAAAAACAAAATATCCATTTGCATAAAAAGTCCAATTTTCAGCCATTTTGAGGTTCTTTTAAATTTTTTAAGCACTTTGTTTTGATCTAAGATTAACAGCATATAAGACCATTAGACTTAACTATCATAAAAATGCAAACATAAATTTATCCAAAAATGCCAACTTTTTTTAATACCCCTATTTTTCAACTAATATCTAAATATCTATATAACTAATATCTAAATATCTAAATTAGTTTTAAATTGAAAATGTAATTTCTTTAAATTCTATTCTATTATAGGTGATAAGTGGTCTGTATGTGGCCTGGTCAGTAATCATCCTACCACCTCCCTAATGGGAATGGGGGAGGGGGCAACCAACTTACAAAGATACATGCTTTAATTTTCTAAAATGAAACATGCATGATTCATTTCTAATGAATACACAAGCTATCAGATCTTTCATTTTTTTCATGCTTTTACCATAAGATTGGAATTTTGATATTGACTAACATTAGTTATGTGTGACTAACATTGACTATGTGTGCCAGATTTTCCATCAAATATATGTTATGGTCTTGAAAGGGCAATAACAAAATTAAATTGAATTACTAAAATCCCCACCTTTTGATTGGTGCTATCCCAAACCCCAAATCCCACCTTAGGTGATGGGGTTTGGGGTAGCACCACCTTAGGGGGTGGAGTTTGAGGTAAACTTCCTTACCCTCACCCTGGGGGGTTGAGAAACTATTTTATTATAGGTGATAAATGGTCTGTATGTGGTCTGATCAGTAGTCACCAGACCACATACAGATCATTCTTCACCTTTAATAAAATACAATTGAAAGAAATAATGGCTTCAATTTAAAATTAATGTAGATATTAAGATATTAATCTAAATTAATTTAGAGACCTTCCCAAAAAACATTCCCAAATACACCATATGAAGTAAGCTTATGAAGCAAACCAATATGCCAGAGTTTATGAAAAGTCTTTGATATATCAAGAGCTATAACTCTTGCCATATCTTTTCAATCTAATGCATGATCGGACCTTTTTATTTTTTTCTGTTTTCATTTTTTAACAAGTCAGCAGTAGAACAAGAGCATCAAAAATTTTTAGAGAACAAATTGTTTTTCTAATATCGAGAGATATTAGAAATTTGTTAATTAAGTATTCAAAGTCTTTTTTAATATTTTAAGTAGACTTATTTTAAGTAGACTTATTTTAAGTAGACTTATTTTAAGTAGACTTATTTTAAGTAGACTTATTTTAAGTAGACTTATTTTAAGTAGACTTATTTTAAGTAGACTTATTTTAAGTAGACTTATTTTAAGTAGACTTATTTTAAGTAGACTTATTTTAAGTAGACTTATTTTAAGTAGACTTATTTTAAGTAGACTTAAAAGGGCAATAGATAGATCTGAGTAATCTCCAGAATTCTGCTTTTACCTTAAGAGAGCATTTAACGCATTTAAAAGCCATATTGTTTTAAATATTTGTTTATTACTTTAAAACAATTTTATCTTGTTACAGAAATTGTTTACTATATATGTCAGATCATTATATAATAATCAACAGTAATAAAAATGCAATATGGGGCTTTGGTTAATCATTAGCCAAGCTAATTAATGTTGCCAATTGAAAATACCATATTTCCCCTAGATTAACAAGAGCTCATACATAACCTAGCCTAACAAGAGCTCATACATACCCTTTGACTTTAACAGTTCTTAGACCATTATGCAGTGCCACTATACTTCTTTTCAACCACCATTGTGTACATGGTGTCATATATTTAGGTTTCACCCAAACTTTATTTCCAATTTTCAGTCCTACGTCTTTATTAATTCATGCTCATAATCATATCATATCTGTTCATTATTTCATGCACACTTAAAACCAACATATGTACCGAGCATCTATTTGTTGAGTGGTTTTTTTTAACACTAATTTTTTCACAGTGAATTAATCCACTTATTGTTGCAACATCTACTACAGGAATCACTTTTTAGTCAGATGGTAGTAACTTCTTGGTAATGATTGATTGAGAGCAATCATTATCTACTATTGCTTTAGTTTTTCTTCTTTTATCAAGCCGATAGTAGATAATATTGCTTCATGGGCTAGTTCTTTGATAGTAGATAATATTTTTTTTAGGACAAATACCAAATGCAAACTTGTCTCATTTAAGTTTTCTTTGTTTTGTTGACTTTTGCAGCAGTCCTTTACAGCATGTTTACACAAGCGTTCTTAGCATAAAAAAGTACATTTGTGTGCAAAGTGAGTCAATAATTTACAGTTGTAATATCACTTGTCTTTCTTGCAGCCTTGACATAATCATCTAACCTCAACACATTTTATTCCCGAAAAATGCTACACAAAACAGCATTATTATTGATTCCAATTATGAATTGTTTATGAAGTTAGCTTTATCTCTGATTGCAATATTGGACTGCTTGAATCACTTGACGTGAGAATGTTCGTATGGGTTTTTTCATTGCCACAATAAATTTTACCAAATTCATATCGTGAAATTAATGATGATTTTCTTATTTCTAATGTTCTTGATTTTATCACCAGTTCTTTGAATATTATTAAAAACAATTATTATTAAAAACAAAATGACTTTTAAATGTGTTGAACAGCAAGCTAACCAGGCGTTTTTATTAACTCTGCAGTATGAAGATGGACAGCCAAAGCGATTTATTCAATAGATGACCTCTTTCTTTGTAATAAACAATAAAACTGCAGTCCAACACATGGCTTTCTTGCTTGCTGTTCTGCCATTAAAAACTTACAAGGCCATGGAAGAATTAACAGCACCATAAGTTCCAGAGAACATCTTGTAAAATATAACAAGATGTTCTCTGGAACTTATGGTGCTGTTAATTCTTCCATGGCCTTGTAAGTTTTTAATGGCAGAACAGCAAGCAAGAAAGCCATGTGTTGGACTGCAGTTTTATTGTTTATTACAAAGAAAGAGGTCATCTATTGAATAAATCGCTTTGGCTGTCCATCTTCATACTGCAGAGTTAATAAAAACGCCTGGTTAGCTTGCTGTTCAACACATTTAAAAGTCATTTTGTTTTTAATAATATTTGTTTATTACTTATAAACAATTTTGTCTTGTTACAAAGATTGTTTACTATATATTGCATTTAAAAATACAACTTGTGACTCGTGTCAACAATTAATGATCATTATAAAAAGCGTAACAATAAAAATGTGTGACTTTTGTCATTAAATAGCAAAGCTAATGAAGCAAATTAGACTACAGAGAGGTAATGAGATAAAAAACACGGTAGTAATCTAGTGGTAGAACATGTGGCTCACAATCAAGTGGTTTAAATTCACCCTAAATCTCTGAAAGTATCTTGCTCAACCTATTTCTTTGTGCAGTGATCAAGTTTAACTAACAAGAATCCTGTTTAACTAACAAGAATCATGTTTAACTAACAAGAATCCTGTTTAACTAACAAGAATCATGTTTAACTAACAAGGATCATGTTTAACTAACAAGGATCATGTTTAAATAACAAGGATCATGTTTAACTAACAAGGATCATGTTCAACTAACAACGATCATGTTTAGCTAACAAGGGTTATGTTTAACAAAGCTTTCTGTTTTGGATTTAAGGGTTGGAAGAGTTGCAAATGAAATAAAACAAAAAATTTATAAAATCAAAAAATGAATAGCTTTCTTGACTACTAATGAAGCTCTGAAGCCTTGGGAATGTATATATATATATATATATATATATATATATATATATATATATATATATATATATATATATATATATATATATATATATATATATATATATATATATGTGTGTGTGTATATATATATATATATATATATATATATATATATATATATATATATATATATATATATATATATATATATATATATCAGAACTATGTTTGATAGGAGGAATGTTGGACTTACCTTTCTGAAAGATACTGTTAAAGGTTTTCCTAAATTGTTTAGAACATAGCTTGTGAGATAAAATCTATGGTTTTCGATCTGAGAATAATGAACTCTTCACCCAATCATCTTTTTTTCTTTTTTTTTTTTAATTTATTGGGTAAACATATTTATATCATAAGCGCTAACAGAGATACCAAATGATATAAATGTTTGCATCAATAGTGAGTTTAATGAAAACAAACCTACTAGACTTAATAAGTTTCTTTTTGACTCCTGATTTGGCTTTCATAAATATGGTTTCCTAAATTTAGCTGTTTTAACAAATCTGTGAATATCCAAAGTGAGATTAACAACGAAAACATAATTAACTATGAATTTAATGATGAGCACGTATTTACCATGAGAACTGTCAAAATCTTTTGACTCGATTAGTTCCAATTGTTAAATAAACGGAAAAGTGGTCGACTGGTTCTAAAATTAATAATATAATAATATTAGGCTGCAAATAAATTTAGTGTATAAATAAATTTTTAAAATCTCAGTAATTTTGCTATTATTTAGTTACTATTAGCAGTTATTGAAAGTTCTACTTTATTATTAATAAATAATAAAAATATCAAAGCAATTTATAATACGTTTAGTCTTTTAATTATTTTGTTTGTTAAAGTATTACTGTAATTGAATTATTCGATAAAAAAAAAATGATTCATTTTATTTAAGTATGGCGAACCACCTCCACCTTTACCTAACTATGTTACCAGTAGTCATTCGTCTCCTCCGTCTTCTATTGCAAGTTCAAAACCATATCATAGTGAAAACGAATACATTGACGAAGCTGAAGATAATTACGTTGGGTATTTAGTATAGCGTTGTAATATGTAAAATTATTTCAGAATTTTACATTCATTACATTTTTGTATTCTGTCGTTACATACGGCCCATAATATAAAGCATGAAAAAATATATATTCCTATTCTTATTGGACCAAACAATCAAAATGGCAGATTCTTTATGTTTAACTTAATGTGTGTTACTTGTTCTGTTGACAAAAAGACTAAAATAAAGTTGAAGAAGTTTCATCTTTCAAATTGTCAAAGTTTTTTTTCAGATTTTTAATTTTTGTTTTGCGTGTTTTTGATTTGTTTTCGTATTTTCTTTACTTGTTATGTACTTTGTAATTTCATAAACAATATTATATTTTTTAGGGGGGTCTATTTTTTATGGTTTTTTTTTTTTTTAGTATTTAATTTTTTCTTGCTTTCTCTGATTATAGTTACTAATAAAATATTTAAACTTGCGTTTCTTTTTTTAATGCATCTCGCTTTTATTAACAAATGTATTTATAACGGTTTGTAAATTATTTTATTAATTTATAATAGTAATGTAACTGTGATAAATAGTATATACGCAGTAGGTTACGTTTCTCATTACTTTAATGATTTGATATTTTTGTTTAATGTACATTATCCAAGTAGATTGAGACATATTTTTATATTGTAAAAAAAGGTTGTTTTTTTTTAATAAGCTTCTTTTTTTTGTTCAATAGTTTCCGACGGACCTTTAGTGGTGTATAATACAAATGAGAATATTTGTCTCATAACCATTAAACTGAGTTTTAGAGCTGTACCCTCATTAAGAGATAACAGGAAGAGTTGCATAGCCACTTTCAAGGACTTTCAGCGTTAATTTTTGTTTAAATGATTTTTAAAAAAATAAAGGTATTGATCTTAGGTCTATAAACTTCATTCTACCGTTTTACAATTATACATTAGGATTATGCTCTCACATTGATAACATTATATTAAATAAAATTAATTTAGAACATGCTGCTATGAAAAATATTTTATATTGGCTTGTAGTTAGACGTTGTTTTAACCTTATTGCAGGAAGTCAAATCGTCAAGTACAGCCTGTCAATACCTAAAAAAACAAAAATTACTACTGTCCTATCAATTTATCATACATGTTTCATTCGATTTGTAAAGTTGTAAATCTATACACACTGTAATAAACTAGGCTGTTCAACATAGCTTTTGAGATCCTAATTTTTTATATATTGTGGATTAAATAATTACCCGTAAGCAAATAAAAATTATTTTTGAAATTGAGATATAATGAAAATGAAAAAGGATTATCAGAAATGAAATGAAATTCATTTCATTTAATGAAATTAATATTCATTATGAATATACCATCATTATCACCAAAAAATTTGTTGATTGTACATTCTTTTTGATATTTGCCAGCACAAATTTTTTTAATAACTCTATACAACTGAGCAGCTTTGCAATAACAGTGCTTGTAGTACTTTGGATTATGGCTTTACTTAGATAGCCTTAACCCAAACATCAAGGTTTATAATAATCTGATACCTTGTATCAGATTGTTATACCCTGATATATTTTATATATCTGGTTATAATAATCTATAATATTATAACCTTGTATATCTGATACTTTGTATCAGATGTTTATTAACTTTGAAAAACAAACTAAAAAATGCTTTTGTTTTTGAATATACAACATATAAATGGATGTTAATGAATATAAATGAAAAAATTTTGTTAACACTTGAATTCATTACTAATATAATGTGGCAGTATATTAGCCCATCCCATTTTGACCCTCATGAACAAATTTTAATACGCGGAATGTCGCAAAATATTCCCAAGGTATTATTTTTTTAATGAAATTTTTTTCTTTTTTTATTTTAGATTACTATTTATACTCGCACCATTCTTTTAAAGTTTAACATTTTTACATTTTTTGAGTTTTTACGGGCATTTTCAAACAATCGGCGCGAATAGAAATTTACAAATCATATAATAACGTCATTACAAGTAATGGAAGGTTTTTTTATCTATACCGATTGTGCGCATTTTTATAACTATTATTTTTGTTAACTGGTGGCATTTTAAAAATGCACAAATTCGTTATGAAATTAAAAAAAATTGGTTTTTGAGGCCCAATACACAACAATTAGAAATTTGTTAGATGCTTTTTATCTCATACAGTTCACCCACTTCAAGCCCTGGCTATTTAAAAGGAGTTTGTACAAGATTAGCTAAGTTTCCTGGCCGACCATTATTCTTGTTAATCTCCTGCCATCATATCGGAGAGCTTCATATAGCCATAGCCGTAAATAAAACTGTTAAGCTGAAGAATAAACTATATCATAAAACCATAAAAGGTTAAAAAATATTAAGATAAGGATAAAACTGCTTCACTTTAAAATATCTTTTTGCAAAAACAAAATGAATAAGTTTCTAATTTTAAAATTATTTACATATAGACTTTTGAGAAGTGCAGAGATTATTGTGAACTTGCGGGAAAAAATCTGACTTTAAGTTGAAAATTAACAAATATGGAGCTGTTTCACACGCCTTGAATTTCATGAAGTTGCATTTCCCTAAAATCAGGCAGGTTTTTATTCTGAGTAATAAAATATTTAAAGAGATCACTAGAATGGCTAACTAAATTTCTCTCTCCAGGGTATTTCGGTTTTTGACCTGCAACTTTTCTAATTCTGTAATTCTTAAAGTAAAATTAAATTTCAAAAGTTTTGATATTTTAGTCTTATTATTTACAAATAGTTTGTGTCATAAAGTAACAAATTGTTTAAAAACATTAACGACACGGGTTTTGAAGTGGGGGGGGGGGGGGGGGGACAATCATCAATTTGTGAAAAAAGTTCTCTAAATCAAGATTTTTCTGAAAAAAAAAGGTCCTTTAGAAAAAAAGTGGGAGACCCCCCCTCCCCGTGTCAAATCTGGTGCAAAATACAAAGAAAATAACTATAAACCAATTTTTTTCTAATGAAAGACTTTTTTTTAAATCAGTAGAAATATAATAAAAATGAAGTCAATAGAAATAGCACTTTAATTTTATAATGTCAAAAATAAATATAATAAGTATTTAATAATGTTATTTTAAACCTTGTTTTATTTATATTGCATTATTTTTAATTTATACTTTTAAGATCAACAATGCCTTTTGGTAGATGTATATTGAGACTGCTGTTGAGGTGAAATTCAAATCATGGTAGCACCTTAGAGATCTTAATATAAAAATGGTATAAAGTTCTGTATTCAAAAATAAAAAGAGGTCCGAAAAAGTGTAAAAACAGATAGAATCAAAGCTGAAATCCTTCTGAAAATTAAAAAACTGCTTTTAGAAGGATTTCAGCTTTGATTCTATTTAGATCTTGAGTTGTATATTTCACCAGACTACTGGTTAATATTTGATATTCTAAATCATAGTTTAAAATAAATGCCTACGGATGAGACTCCCACAGACTTTTTGGCTACAATGAACTCCAAAACTATTAAAATCTTTCAAAGTTGTTAACAACTCATCAGAACTCACAGCAAAATTGTAAATCTATTAAGCATAGTTTAAGAAATTTATTTCTCAAAACAAGAAATATGTTTCTTGTTTTTAAAAATAAATTGCAGGGTAGGATATTTATTTCTTAAAACAAGAAACGTATTTCTTGCAAGAAAATATTTTTCTTAAAACATGTTTTAAGAAAAATATTTGGTAATAAAAAATTCAATTTTGATGTGCTTAAAGTAAAGTTTATTCAAGATAATGTAGAGCGTGAGCTTGAAGAGGCTTTTGAAGCTACTTCAAATGAAGATTTCTTGTAAAAAACCATTAAAAAAAGAAGAAGAGTGGGTTCAAGGAGTTAACTACTGCGACTGCTTTTGTTATTGAATGACTCTAATAATTTGAATTTTGATCCGATACCTAACTCAAACTCTGAACCTTAAAAGTACATTTAAAAGTAATATTTTTACATAATTTTTTAAGATATTTGTCTCAAGCTGAAAATTTATATGTATATAAATATCTATTGCACATTTGCAGCGTTTAAACGCTGAATTCTGAAGCAAAATTGCTTCAGAAATAAAAGATCTGTGACAGTGGCAGATCCATTATTTTTTGGTGTTTGAGATAGCTAACATTGAGCAAAATCCAAAAAAATGTATGTTTATACTTATGTCAAATAATGATGCTTTTTGAAAAGTTGCAATGATTGGAGGCTGGGTACAAAAAAAGCCCTAAAATTTTATCCACTCTGCCCCAAATATGAAAGCAACAAGTTAATGAAATAATTTTTTTGCTATTCTTAACTACATTTATATTCATTGATAAATTTTAAATGTTGTTTTACAATCTTTAAGCGTTCAAAAATTATGACTATATAAAATTTGTAAACTCCTCAAATTGAGGGGGGTTTAAACTTTATATACAATTTATGAACTCTGAGAGATATTATTATAAAACTTAAAATTTATCAATCAGTATAAACAAAATTAAAAATTTTAAAAAAATTATTTTACCAACTTATTCGTCTCACGTTTGGTGCAGGGGGATGAAACTTTAGGGCTTTTTAAGTTTCTAAAACATCGCGATGATTAGAGGCTGCATGATTGTTAAGCATCATTGTTTGACAAAAGTATAAACATACAAATGTTTTGAGTTTACACCATGTATGTTAGCTATCTCAAACACCAAAAAATGCCGGATCCTTCACTGATCTGTGGTTTGATTCCTACTCTAGGCTTTTTTTTGTCATGAAGGAAGCGTAAACTTTCGAGTTAAATGATCTTCTACGGTGCTCTGTGATGCAACTATTAGGTCTTCTTGGAGCACCTAAAATAAACACAGAAAAAATGTGTATATATATATATATATATATATATATATATATATATATATATATATATATATATATATATATATATATATATATATATATATATATATATATATATATATATTATATATATATATATATATTTATATATATATATATATATATATATATATATATATATATATATATATATATATATAAATATATATATATATATATATATATATATATTTATTATTATATTAGCTCACAGCAAAAGATCCAAAGTCCTTTACCCAATCTTTCAAGGAAACCATTTTGGATTTGGATTTGTTTAATCCAAGGCTCCAGTAACAGTATTTTGAAACAAAAACATCATTTGATAACAAAATGAGGCAAAAATTATAAAATTTGTTGTATGACTGGAAAAAAGCCTAAAGATGAACAAAAAATCACTTTAAAGTAGCTAAAGTGCTAATTTATTTTTAATTTGACATCAGAATCTGTTCGCGCCGATGCTTGGAAATTGCACTAAATTTAGTCAAAAAATTATAGAAAGCGAAACTTTGAACAATCGGCGCGAATACTTCGATCAAGAAAAAATAAAAAATAATTTTTTCTTTTATATAAATATGACCTTTACGCCACTCATTAGCCACTCCACATAAAAATTGGTTGTCGAAAAAATATTATGGGATTGGCTAATATTGATATTACTTTGATATAAAATCTTTGATATAAAATTTTTTAACGCTCCAAATTTATCACTAACTTAAGAAAAATATACTTATTGGTTTGTTATGTTTTGAGTTTCACTTCTGAAGTATGTAGAGTATTAAATTTATGGTATATTTAGTGAATATATATTCTCGATATATATTT